AAAAAAAAAAAAAAGAAGAAAAAGAAAAAAAGGGGACCAGCAATTAAGGTAATGGCTATGTCGCTGGACTCCCATGTAGTCGACTGCGGTTCGTGTCCCAGACCCAGTGGCTTAAATCTCATGCAGGGCACATGTGCGTGCGTGCGTGCGTGCGTGCCTAAGATCCCGAGAGGAGAGTGGAGGAGAAGGGATTGTGGCGTGGCCATCCCCCCTGGGGAGTGATTTCTTGCTTTTTGTCTCTCTGTCCCTCTCTGTCTGTCTGGCGAGCGCATGTGCCCTATGGCAAAAACCTCTCCAAAAAAAATTAAGGTTTTGGCCATAGGGCATGTGTGCTTGCTTGCCAGAGAGAAATCACCAGAGGGGAAGGGCATGCTGCAATTTCTTTTCCTCCATTTTCCTTTTGGGATTTTAGGCACACATGCACATGTGCCCAGCATGATTTTTAAGCCACTGGACCCAGAACTCGAACCACAGCCAACAATGTGGGAGTCCAGCACCTTAAATACCACTCCACTTGCTGGCTCCATCTTTCATTTTTAAATAACCACACTAGCAAATAGGACAGCCAGGAAAATCAGTGAAACACTACAGACATTCATGGGTAGAAGATGCTTCCAGGAGAAGAAACCTTGCCTCTAAGGGCAAATGAAGATAAACGGGATATAGTGGAAGGAAAGCAGTGGGGAGGTGTGGAGATGGAGGAGGGCACTATTACATGGGCACCTTTTAATAATTCTTGCTTCTATCGTCTTTCTGAAACTTTTTTATACTTAACATAATTTTTTTGAAATTCGATGATTTCCTTATGACAAACAAGAGATAGGATTGTTTTATTTATTTTGCTACATGGTGTGTGCACTTGCCACAAAGAGACAAGGAAACAGAGAGAGGGACCTGAGAGCACTCCCTGTCCTTGGGGGGTGGCCATGTTGCAATTCCTCATCTGTTCTCCTCTTGGGAGTTTGGGCAGACACGCACACGGGCCTGGAATGTTCTCACGCTACTGGGGCCAGGACTTAAACCACGCAGTTGGCCATGTGGAATCCAGCCACCTTAATCTTCACACTATCTGCTGGCCCAAGATAGGTATCCTTTTTAAGATTTATTTCTTCCATGAATGAGAAAGACAGACACACAGAATACAAAGGCAGTGCCATGGGTTGAGAGGCTGAAAACTTCACGGGAGGCCCTGGTCTGGGTCTTCAACCAGCCTGAACATTCCAGGTGTGGCTGCATGTGCCTGTGATCCTAGCTAATCCTAAAGCTAGAGCAAGAGAATTGGGACGCAGTGGGACCCTAAAAACACGTCTGTCTCTCTCTTTCCC